GCTACCTATTTGCTATCTACAACTTCTTAGTTGATCCTCCTAAAGGTTGGAGCGGAATTACATCGTTAATGATGTTGACCGACCGGGTACTGCTGTGCATCTTAAATAGAAAATGATTGTTTGTTGTTTGTTTGTTTGTTTTTCCAAGAAAATTTAAACAGAATGAACTCAGCATTTAAAGAGGCTCTCTTATGTCTGTAACTAACAGAGAGGCCAAGCAACTAAGCCAGACAGCTCAGAGCTGAAAATTTACATTTACAGACCAGGCAGCTGGAAAATCCAAGGTCCTTAGAGGGTTAACATCAGTTGAACACTAGTAAATGTTTAGCAGGATATTCATATTAAATAACTGTCCTTCTCCCTCCATCATGTAAGAGATGATCCATCAGCACCAGCCCCTCTCTTCATCCCTGCCCCCTTTTTGAGTTAAGCAGGTAAGCTACATTTTGTTCAGGGACAGGCCAGTTAGCAACACTATAGAGTCTGGGAATTTTTCTCTTTTTACCATTTCAAAAACCTAAATGTTAACTCATTATACATATATACATTTTAAAATTGAAACACATTTTTATTTTTGTTCACTTTTGATCACTATAAAATCAACATGGCCTGCAGTTTATACTGTATCCTGGACAGTTGAAGGTAAACACTGAATTGGCTCCAGCAGCCTGTATTAAAATAACTGTCAGTGTTAAAATTGTTCATTTAGCTTTTAACATTTGGATTGGATTACAACCATTGAAAGGCATCCATTATCTTAATCCTTATATAAACAGCCTGATATCACTGCCCAAAATTCCTGGTGGCACACTGGTTTATACCGACCTGAAAAATAAACTGATACAGAATGAAGTCAGTATTTGGGTAAAAAGTTAAACAGTGTTGCTTTAAAGCAACCTAAATGATAAAGAAATGATTTACCAAATGGGTGGTTGGAGATATAAAACATATTCTTTTTACTTGACTTTTGGGCATGGACCATTTTGCAGTCCCTGACAGATGAATGTTCAATACCTCCCCAGATTTTTGCCATTTTTAACTAAAGCTCCCATTAGAGCAACCATAAATGGTGCCTTCAATGATGGCATTATTGCTGCTCATTGCTGTTCATTCTTTGGGAAAGACTAAAAAACATCCAATTATTTGACCAATGTAATTGGAAAAATAGCCATTTTCTTCAAAACTTGTACTCCCTAAATGGTGTGTAGCTTGTACACAAAAGGTCAGAACACACCGAATCAGATTTTTGCGTCCGATCTGACAGAAAATTACTTATTATCTTACACGGTTACAAAGTAAAACACATCGGCTTTGGGGGAAATTATGAAATAAAATATTAATCGCACAGGGAAACAGCCCAAGTTTTGTAGTCGCACATTGCGTATATCGTAAGGGGCTACAAAAGCCAAACAACAGTGTGATGAATAAAATTATGATTTATGTCTGGCAACAAAGGTCTAAACCTCCCAAAAAAATTAACAACTGTGACTGGGAAAAAAATGAAGGTAAAATTAGACAAACACCTACATAAGTAGTAGTTTGTGGTATCAATAAGATTTAGTTGACAGAAATTGTATGTTTTAGCTACAGCAGCATATCATATTTTGAAGTTTGCCTGCTCTCTCTATAGATGAATTATCTTGGATCTTAAAACTTATTACATAAAACTTGAATGCAGATTTTTTTTTTTTTACATAATAAATATGTAAAAAATGTAAGTTGTCAAATAGCTACAAATAACACATGCCTTTAACTCTCGTATGTACCACAGAATCCTGGTTATCCCTATTTAATTGTGTTTCTTTAGAACAGCGGTGGGCAATTCCAGTTCCTGAGGGCCGCTGTCCTGCAACTTTTAGATGTTTCTTCGGTTCAGCACACCTGAATCAAATAACTCTGGACTCTGGAGGAAGTGACTGCATACTAAGGAGGTAACCGAGCCATTTAATTCAGGTGTGTTGGAGCAAGGATGGATCTAAAAGTTGCAGGATATCGGCCCCCAGGAACTGGAATTGCCCACCCCTGCTTTAGAACATGCAGCAAGCTACCCTTCACTTCTTTCCCACCACCTTTTAACACTTATGATAACCAGGGATTGCACTGGTTCAATGGGCTGGACTTTATAATATACCTGGGTTTAACTGTACATAAGGAAAAATGCTAAAAATGAAGCTGATGAGAAGAAAAGGGTACAAATATTGAAATCTATGCGTTATAAAAACTGGTTGGGACATCGAAACTCAAAAAAGAGAAAAACATCTGCAGAACAAACTTTTCTAGATGGCTTAATGGAATCTCACCTGTTTCACTTCCAGATCAGCAGGCCTATACACTGATGGCACAGCGTCTGTATTCAGCAGGGCGATGCTAGTAGCTGGATTAACTTGGAGAAAGCAGCTAGGTGTGAAGTGTTCAGCACAAACTCTGATGTCAACCCATGAGGATTCTGTAATTCTCTGACCATTTACTAGAAAAAGAAACTGGACCCATTCCAGTCTCTTATCTGGGTCTGCTGGTAGACTGAAGCACTGCGCTCCACGACGCCATGAATGACATCTGACCACAGAGCATCTCCTGGATTTAAAGGAGTCATCTGTGTTTTCTCTAAAGGAGGGAGAGAGAGAGAAAGGGGGAGACATGTTAAGTTTCTGCTACCCCTCCTCTACTCCAGAGGGAGTTTAAAGCCTGTATTGGGAAACAATAAAAGCATATATAGTAACGATACATAAAGGACTGCTGACAAAACAAGAGTAAGATAAAAAGATCTGAGAACGAGCCCAAGTCATGAGACCTCCATTAATACTGCTGGCATTCCATACTTTGTATTCTGAATATGGCATGTAAGAATGTTTATCCTGTCTAATACATTGTCTGGAATATGTTCAACTCTAATCACAAACATTTATTTCACTTCCATTAGAAGCATGCAGCCCCACAACAATCCTAGAGCAATCTTAGTTTTAACCTTAGAACCGGACCTTTTATCAAAAAAAAAAAATATTCAGATGAAATTGCAAAATCCTGTAATGGCTATAATCTCTGCAGTGGAAAAGGGGCTGGTGATAATGTTTTAGAACTTCACTCTTAGTCTTAATGAGGTGTTTAAAATCTTAGCTAGAACAATACATATTCTTTTACAGGTGCAGACTGTACACAAAAAATGTATCTCCATGTCTCTATCAATGAGTACTATGCTCTATATATAGTTTGCATGAATAAATAACTTACACAACTAACCTGTCATGATCAGGAGACTCATTGACACTAGGTCCGGGAGGTGGAGCTGAATCTTCAACCGGTGTAGAGCATACTTGGTTTCTGTGTTCATAGCTGAACAGAAAAAAAAAAAAAAAAAGAGCATATTAAAAAAAGATCAAATGCAAACATTTCCCCAAATACTTGATGCAATGACAAAAAAAAAAAAAAATCCCAAAACATTTATAGTCCCTCACATTCTCAGGACTTGCTGCCCGTGATTTTTTCCCCATTTAAATCTTAATCTGTCTCCCGATTATTTCAAACATCTGAAATATTATGTTCCATCCAAACCTTATCAAATAATAACTAGATCTCTCTAAATACCACAAAGGAGCTACAAGCAAGAATCACGTTAGTGGAATGCGTGTTTTGATATATTTGATCAATATATATGTGAATACATTTGCTTATATGATATTTGAGCAAATGTATTTTTCCAAAAGTTGTTAGAAAGGGGTGAGACCTACACAGATCAAAAATAAATATTCTGGATGTCCATCATGGAAAGACAAACCAATAATAAAAAAAATAAAAAAAACTTAGGACAAAAAAAGTTTAGATGGGTAAACTCTTATACTTCTTTTACTCATGTAACTAGCTTCTGCACATTTACTGTCAGAAAGCTCTATAAAGGAAATTTCGCATCGTATACACTGTGTATACAAAATGACAATAAAGGTTGTCTAAGTCAAAATAGTTAAGCACTGCATTCCAATAAGTTACCACATATAGAAATGAGACCGTGTAACAAAAAACATTTATGACTATTGCTGTTGCATGATGAGAATTTTTTTTTACACATTTTGTGACCATGAGTTAAAACCGTTTGATTGTTTAGCTATTAAAAAAAAATTCTAAATTATTCCAAAAGGTATTTTCACGACCATAAGGCGCACCGTACTAAAAGGTGCAGTCTCAGTTATGTGTGCCAGTACTGTACTGTACAACAGTAAACGACGCCTTTTCATACCCCGTTGTGTGCATCGCTACCGTGCTGGTCCCCTTCTTCTCCACCGTGTGATTCACCGGGATGTCGAAAGTGAGCGGCACCTCTTCCATGTTGGTGATGTGGCTTGGCTGGAAAAGTTTGTCGGCGATGTGTTGGCTGCAGTAGGAGTGGAAGCTCGTCAGCTTTTCATTATAATCCACGGGACGTTGCTGCGCTACTGTATTCCTGGTCCGGATGGAAAAATGGCACCGTTTCATAAAACGAAAGCACCACGATGGACCTCCTTGAAAATGTTCAATTTTCATTTCTTCCGCTAGCGTTACTGCTTTCCGTCGAACAGTGACCGTCGAAACGCTGGCCCCACTCGTTCTTTGCTCGATGATCCACCGCTCCAGTCTTTCCTCCAATTCGGGCCACCTCGCCTTATGTCCGCGGAAACTCAGCTGCGTCTTCTTCACCTGTTTGAGTTTGTTTTCCAGCTTCCTCCACTTGCGAACCATTGATTCATTAATCTTGAATTCTCTCGCAGCTGCTCGATTTCCATGTTCCTCTGCGTAGCTGATAGCCTTCAGTTTAAACTGTGCTTCGTAGGCGTCTCTCTTTGCCATTTTCAGGGTTGTTAAGGCAACAATGTTCTGCAAAAAGCACATACCTGTTATTTTATACACAAGCCACGCCCACACACCCCCCTTTAACGTTCTCATGGTGGTCTCAACAACGTCCGCAGTAACAACACGCAGGGCGTGCCGCACATGGGGGGGGGGGGACGTGTAGATGCGCCTTATAGTCGCGAAAATACGTAATACAATAACCATTAAAGAGAAGTATACTACCATATTTTAAATCAAATTCTTGAAATGTCACTAAAGAGTCTTAAAAAATTCAACAGATGCACCAATAGGACTAAAATGATTTTTTTCACTATAAGATGTCGTAACATCCATAGTATCTATGTGGAGAAAAGCATTGGTTTATGAAAGTTAGTTTTGGGGGGGATTTTATAAAATTGTAATTGAAAATAAAAAGGAAATTCAGGTGTACTAATTTAGGGAAAATAAAAGTTGGTATAAAGTTCTAGATAAAGATTTCTTAATGGCTTTGGCCAATTTATTTTGAGGCTATTATTGAAGGTGTTAAAAGTTAAGAGCAGCTGTCGTTATTCTGCCCCTCACTATAAATTAAATATCATCTGGTCCTTATAAGACTTTACTGTGAGCATGGAGGGATGGAGTAGCATGTTAGATGGGATATTTCCTCAGCTTTAGTGAGAAAAGTCCTCTCAAATGCAAATCTCTTTGAAACCATTTTTTAATCATTTTTTTTATTTATGTCAATGGTTAAAATTGTAATTTCATCTGGCCTCCTTATCTTTAGTGAGGACAATTTCTTAAAAAAAAAAAAAAAAGCGTCTTTTACAGGTATGTCACAGATAGGAGCGTTGCAACATTTAGGAGCATGCAATTCACATTTCTTTACATTTTAAAATTTTATTATATTTACATTTATCAGGTCAATAGCTGGAAGTATTTGAGACTGTACTTTTTTGCCAACAACTCTGTCATCAGAGGCTGAAAGGGAGAAATCCCTGCCTGCAATTTGACTCAGCAATCCATCTTAATGCATTGTTTTGAGAGAACTAAGATACAAAAAAAAAAAAAAAACCTTATCTAATATAAGAAAAAAATAATTTATAGGGTGAAATATTTCAGTGAAAATAAGAGGATTGATTACATTTGCAGGAAACTTCCAAGTCATTTGTACATAATCAACATTTTCTCCAGTCTTCTACATTCATGTCAAATACTTAAACCACCAAACCTCACAGAGGGAATGAAACCTATTGCATAACAATTGTATAAATCTGTCACCTCATTACAGTATTAGCTTCCACTGTTAATTTTTAAGTTAAACGTTTTTCATTTGAGAAAAATTACAACTTTTGTGATTATGGTGTCTTCAGTTCAAACAAGTGGTTTGGAAATGTCTAATTTAAGCCATTTAGCCAATGTGCTACCATTTCTTGAATTAGTGAATCTGTGATTCAGCTCATTGTCTCCTGAAGAAGGCAGCATACCTGCATTTAGCTTCATTACTTCCACCTTTAGGTGAATAGCTACACCTGTTAAGCCTGGCTTGTCGTCTGTGAAACTGATGAAGCCAGGACCTAGTTATCACGCTATGTCAAGCCTGACTTTATCCCTTATCCTGGATTTCTGAATTCAATTTTTTCGTAAAATAGGGCACTGAATTATGTATTCAAAATTAGCAACACAGAGTTAGCCTAGCCTCAAAATTGATTAATACATCTTGCATATCATGAATACATGTTTGCAATGTTTTTAATACAGGCAGAACACTAGACAAGTCAATAATTACTCATTATGTTTCACATGTACAGGCTGTGATGAGCAGTTTTAATGGAAAACCAGTTTATTTAAAAATAAACTTTCTAGAAAGCTGTTACAAGTTCTGAGGAAAATAAATAAATCATTGTTCTCCTTGTGAAGGTTTGATCCCAGATGGCTCATTCTCTTAGTGGGTAAATTGCTTTTTCTTTTGCTTCTTTCCATTTAATTTTCTATTTTTCACAGCCTTTAATTTAAAGTTTTTAGGGCGTCCAATAGGCCTTCCTGTGCTCCTTCTTTTAGATTTAGATCTATAAAATCCCTCCGTCTGCATCTCATCATCTGTCCCCTCTGCATCATAATCGCTGACTTCTTCTTCTTCTTCTTCACTGTCACTTTCTTCTGTGCTTTTTCTGAACCCATTAGATTGAGTGCGATGTCTGTCACTTTCCTGGCTGCTTTTTGTATCTTTTTTTTGCTCTGGTGCAGAGTGTGCAGCGTGGTAACGCTGCACGTGGTTTTTCAAGCTCACATTGTGAGTGAAGCACTTCTCACAATGCTGACACTTGTAAGGCCGCTCCCCTGTATGCAGGCGCATGTGGGACTTCAGATGACTCGACTGGTTGAAGCCACGCTGACACACTGAGCACTTGTACGGTTTTTCTCCAGTATGGGTCAATAAATGTCTCTGAATGGAAAGAGCACGGAGAAACTCAACGCCACAAAAGCGACACTTTAACTCTATCGTTCCTCTGTGATTCTCCAAGTGGATTCTGCGCTCCTTGTTCGTGGCAAAGGTCTCTGAACAGTCTGGGCATTTGTACGGCTTCCCTTGGGTTATATGCATCTGCTCATGTGCATATTTTTCCGCTTTTAACTTGAATGTAACATTGCAGAACTTGCAATGAAACTCGTAGTCCTCATTATGGATTCTGCTGTGAAAATTCAGAGCCACCTGGTTGACGCATCTTTTTCCACAAATATAACAGCAGTAGGGCTTCACTTTGTGCTCACATGTGTGAGGTTTCCGTTTATCGAAGAATCTTCCACAGTCTGTACAGAGCTGATTGTGTATGGGAGTGAGTGAGAGGTAATCACAGTACTCAATATAGTCTGTAGAATCATTGTTTTGTTTAGCAGGAAATAATTTTACAGGGAAAACACCCAGCGGAGGTTTCCATTCCTCATCTGAATCCATTTCACTCGGATCACTGGATTCTGGTGATTCAATGACAGCAGAGGTCTCAGGAGACTCTGCAATATGGCTGCCGGTTTCATCTTTTGCTGCAGCCTGTGGTGAAAATAAAATTTATAGGTGAACGTTTAATAGCAAAAGGGAAAAATGAACCATACAATAAAATCTTAAGACCATGAGCATAAATGGACTCATTTTGATAGCATAAAAATAAACAAAAAAAGGCACCAATTTTCAGAAAAGCTAGGATTAATTTGAATATTTATTTGTTTAATCAGCCTTTCATTAGGATATGTGAGACGATGATTTAATGATTCCATAGGTTTCTTTTTACCAAAGGGGGCTAAGCATTTAACTGAGGGTGCTATGAAGCATCCTTTGTGTTTAGATTGTTTTTATGCACACAGATGTAAACAGAAACAGAGGTACACACACTCTTCTTAAATCAACAGAAGTCAACAATAAGGTTGATAGGAAATAAGTGGTTTTTTGCTACTAAATTAAATCAGTATAGCATTTATTTGTTTATCTTTCAACTCTTCCCTTTTATGTTATTCTTGTACACTTTTCTCTGGTCCACATTTGTGTGACCATTTATTCTATAATCTTTTTGCTGCTGTAAACCCCAGAATTTCCCCATTGGGGGACAATAAAGGGATTTTCTATTCCATTCTATTCTAAAAGAAGTGTGTAGAGTCTATTGTCGTATATAAACTGTTATAAGCAATTTGCTGTATTTTATTGTATTTTAGACCTGGGAAAATAAAATAGAGTAATTCATCATGAATTTATTAACAACATTTGGTTAAGTAGATGTAAGATTATTAATATGTAAATTAATAATACATGTTGAGTTACCTAGCAGTAGCCACAGTCCTTAACTAGCAGTAATTTATAGAATGCATAAGTGGAATATTAGAGCACAAATGTGACCGATCTAGGACGTATTATGGAAAGCTCTCTGCCTACTCGCGATGACCTACTCGCCCCACATGCTATTTTCAAGTTAAATCAAAGTTGAGGAAACCACTTGTTATGGTTATAATAGAGATAGAAATATTTGAACTGCAAAAAAAAAAATGAAATAATGACAGAAAAAGACAGAACATTAATATTCATGAGTTTTAAGTAATTTAATTGACCTTTAAAAATACTAACTGGGGCTGGACATTTTATATCACTATAGAGGAGGGGGTTTTTATGCATTTAAACGTTTTTTCAATCTAAAGTAAATTTCTATTTGGAACTGGTTGTATTGTTCAAGGATAATATCACAACAACAATAACTTCCATGGAAAAGTATTAGTCTAAATTGTTTTCCCAGGTGTAGCTATAGCACCTCCTAGCGGCCACTGGCAGCGCTGCAGCCACAATTGAGTGTGGGCAGATTTATTTTATTATTCCGAATGTTAACTTGGTAAATAAAATGAAAATGGTCTTATTCTAGAAACACGTTTATAATAATATTGAAGAAAATATGTCAAAGTGTAAGATAAATGCAGAGGATGAGACAACAGGAGGAGTTAGAGGAGCACTTACCTTCAATTCATAGCTCTCCTCGGTTCCCATATGTGTGCGCAGCGATGGGACCACACCGGGTTTCAACTGGACTGTGTCCGCAACATTAATCAGACAGTCGCCTGTGAAGTGCTCGCTACAAACAGATATATCAGTCCATGACGACTCTCTAAAACGCTGCTCGTTAGCTTTAGCTAAAAACATGACCCATTGCTGTCTCTCCTCTGGGTCCTCTGGTAACTTAAACCGCGGCGCACTGCGAGGCGATGAATCACATCCAGCAACGGAGCACATCCCGGATTTAAGTTTGGTTGCTGTGACTCTTAAATAGCCTTTTGAAAACTCTTTACTATAAACAATGTTTTAAGCGGATGCTGCATTTTTCTTACAGCTGCAATTAGCTGCTTCTTCTTTTTTTTTTTATGGCGGTTGGCAAGCAACTTATTGATGTGCATTACCGCCATCTACTGGAATGGAGCGTTGATAAGGACGCTGTATATAAATTCTCCCACAAAACAACAACAACAAAAAAGCTGCATTTAGCTTCTTCTTCTTCTGTTGGTAGTTTATAGCGGTTGAAAAACTAATTGTAGCGCATCAGCGCCACCAACTGATATGGAAGTGAACAAGTAAACAGAAAGCAAGACTCACCCCCAGAAAAAAAATGGGTTGGCTGATTTTTAAGAAGAGATTCTATTATATCTGCGGTGTGGGGACTATAAATCTGATGGGATAAAAAGCATTGAGAAGTCATGGAGAGGCATGGTCACTGGTTAATTTAAATAATGAATATAATGCCGAATTCTTATTCCAGGAAAATGGACAGATTATATATAATATCCCAAAAACATTGATCAATTTAGTTCAGGGTTGGCTCAGTAATATCCCAGTTCCTAAACTTAAAAATACAATTATTTTTTCCTATAAAAAAAATACTCCAAAAATTATATCCATGCATTGAGAACCAAATATCTGAAATTTTCTAAT